TCCTGAGTCCCAGTCTAAGCTGCTTCGAGTTTGTTGTGGGGAAATGGGATATGCATCTAATAAATAAATAAATAACCACAGCACCACACCGTCTCTTTGCGACCAGGCATCAGAGAAAGCAAATGGCCCACAGCAACCCACTAGGCAAGAAGCTGGACCCGGGTCACCTTGATCCAAATTGAGAACAGTAACCCCAAGACCAGGAGGACTGCAGAATACGCCGGGCTCTCCACCTCTCCAAGCCCGATCCGTGGCACCGAAACTCATGCGCCAGTCGCCCCAGCCCGTTTCCAGAAAACACGCACACACTCCAGCATGTCACAAAAATGCTTAGAAAGGAAGAGGCAGGGACCCCAGAGATTTTGGGGGACAGAGGCACAGGACTGCTGCAGAAAGAGCTGATGGCCACTGGCAGGAAAACCTAAAGAAGATGGAAAGGAAGGTACCTCTGTCACCATTGCAATACTTGTGAGGCCGGAGAGAAACGCAATCGGAGAGGTGTGTTGTGGGCAGGGGGAGAGAAGGGTCGGAGCGGAACAGTCCCGAGCTCTGGTTTATTCAAATGCCCAAAATATAATGCATAAGAATAAAAGAATAAGAAGAGCAATGACTCATTTGGAACCTGGCACCTGATTTTAGAACTGCAAGGAAAGCGAGGTGTTTTTCCAGCAACGACGGGGGCATCATGGTGACGGAAGGCGCGACGTGCGGAGGTTAAGCAATGGAGCTGAGCCAGGGCACGGCTGTCCCAAAGCCATCACACCCTCTATCCCGGGTGGATTGGCTTCTCGCACCCACAACCTGCCAGGAAGTGTGGTTTCAGGAGGAGTGACACTGATCAAGCAAACCTGGGCCACTGGGGCACGTTTCCTGTGTGTGCGTGTGCGTGTGTGTGTGTGTGTACACGAATGCACGTAAAGAGGTACTGCATCAACAAGGCAAGATTGCACAGCAGAGATCACAAAGCTCATTCATCCCCCAAACCTGGGCAGGAACAAACTGGACCAACGTGAATGACAGAGAAGAAAACAATATCCAGAAACACAAATAAGCATGTAACAGAGCAGAAGACGGCCTCCTTAATAGATCTCCAGGGGAACGAGAAAGCAGCAGCTCTCTGGAGGAAGAGGCAGTGAGAAGAGGATCCTAAGCGCCAGAACTGCTCCGGCAATGGGGGGATCTCCCCAATCCTGGGGCTCAAAGGAAGGGGTCCTGCGACACGTCTGAATGCCCCCAGAGCAGCCTCTCGCGCCAGGAACGGGGGCAGAGGGTGTCTATCACCCTGGCTTGTTTATGGCCCGCTTGACACCCGCTGGCCGGGTCCACAAGGACCAATTCCTTCGATAATTTATCCCCAAAAGCCCGGCGCAAGGATACGCCGCCGCGCGGCTGCCACTGAACGGCTCTGCCGCACTGCTTCGCCATAAATATCCCCGACGCGCCGGCTTCCCGGCGCTGCGGCAGGGCCCCCCCTCCGCTTTGGCACACCACAAAGGCAGTGGCCTAGCACCTACAGGAGGGCTGTGGTTGGGGGGGAAGGCCGGGTCCAAGGTGGGGGTCCATGCCAAGGCTTCTCCCCACATCTCCCCAACAAAAGCAGCCGCCTGGCTGCTGAAGAGATAGGCCCGAGAGCAGACAGGTAGTCGCGGCGGCGAGCACGGCCACGAGCGGGGGTCTTTGGTGCAGTGCCACCACAGGACACAAGCCAGGCCAGCCCCTACCGAGTTAGGCCCGGCCTGTCCACCACCACCAAGGAAGCCAAGTGCATTGTGGGTCACGCTCTGCGGAGCATCCGTACCTGAGCCTCGTGGCGGAGCTCCCTAGCAACCGTCCCTCCGCTTCCAGATGAACCCCCCGCTCCCTCCTGTCCGCCACACGCACCACCAAACTCAGGCCAGGTTAAAAAGCGCTGGCCGCAGGAAGGGTGGGTGGGGTGGTCCCGGCAGAGGGACCCCCACCTCCGCTGTTTCCGCCATTGTGCGGTGCCCGCCAGCACCCGATTCAGACGCACAATTTATGGGCTTGGGCTTCCGCCTCAGAACACATTCTGAAAGAGGAGTGCGAGAGAAGAACGAACGAGGGCGTGAGACCCAGACGTGCAAGGCCGGATGGATGGACGGATGGACGGACGGACAGGCTGGGGCTGTGTGTGTGTCTGTGGCGGGGGGGGGGACAACAGCCCGGCACACACACTCTTGCTTGGGCTTTCCCTCCCTACTTCGGTGAATGGCCAGATCCCAGAGAAAATGGAAGGCACACATACAGCAGCGAGCGCTTCCCAAGCAGGAAGTGGGCTCGAGGCCCCGGCCAAGTGAGCCGACGGAGCCGCGGGCGCAGGGGCCGGAGCCACGTCCCTGCGGCTCGCAGGCCCAAGGCCTCTTGAGACCATTGCCCCGGCCTTGCCCACAGCGCCGCCGCCGCCTCCCTGACTTTCCGCCACCGTACCCCATGGGTGAGGCATTAGAGATGCAGCTCAGGAGCTGTTAACTCCCCCATTGATCCGGCTCCCTGTGGTTTCGCTTGGCGGCCATGACAATTTCTAGATTATTACTTAAAACCCCCACTGATTTAAAAGGGAGGTGGGTGGGGAAGACGAAAATCACCCCCCCGCACAAATGGCGGTTCCACGGTCTCTGGCATTGGCGCCCCCACCCCCTGAAAGCGCACTTTGGTAGCTAAAGGGAACTCCGGGCACTTGTAGGACCAGTGGCCCCAAAAGCCACACCGCTGCTTTCGTTATGGGAGCGATGCAGCCCCAGAGCCAAGGCAGAGGTGGGGTCTTCCCTTCACGTCAACAGTGCTGCTGGAAAGAGGGCGGGGGGCTCCCATCTGACAGGGAACCACATCCTGGCCACACCATGACGTCCCCCAAGTGTCCGACGGGCCACAAGCAGGAGTGCCAAGCCTCTTCCTCGCGCTCTGGCCACAAGGCTCCCGAGACCCCACATAAACGGAGAGGAGGAAACAAGCCCAGGATGAGCTGACGAGCTCCCCCTCATCAAAATACAGCCGCCGGCCCCCCTCTGACTATGAGTTTGACTCATGTAAAGGGGGGGGAGACAAAGATCCCCTCCCCTTTTGGCTGCTTCAGACTGCCTGCGTGTTTACATGGAACCCACCCGTCTTGCAAGCAGGGCCAAAAGCTCCGACTTGTGCTTCGGGAGCAAAGGAAAAATGAGGAAAGGGGAAGGGCGAGGTGAATCCCTTTCATCCGTGCCCTTGCCCCCCCCCCCCGCCTAAGAAAAGAGACACGCTTCCCCTTCCTCGCCAGGTAAACCCTGCAGCTTCTGTACCACGCGGATGCCCATAGCCGGCCGCCATCACACCCCTGTGTGGCCAGCGGGGTGGGGGGGGGAGACTTGGCTCCGTACCCCCTCCTGATCCCCTCCCCCCCCAACACACACACAAATACGCTTTGCCGGCCTCTTCTTTTGTGCTCTCTGCAGGTTTGCAAGGAAGGGATCGAGCGGAAAGCTTTCCACGAAAGGTGGCACGGCAGACGGGCGTGGAGGAAGCGGGCGCTGCCTGCCCTGAACTGCCCAGCCTGGAGAGGTGGGAACGAACAGGCGCCTGCCAGACAGAGCAGCACACGCTCTTGCACACGCGCTCCCCCTCCCTCCAGTGCCTGCATGAGTGTTCAGAAGGGGCACCCTCCTCGCCGGTTCGGCTTTGCCATAAACGCCCGAGCACCCCCTTCCCCCTCTGAGCACAAGCCGGTTGGAGACACCTCGCCCGGTTCCCAGCGGAGCCTTGGCGTGGCCCGGGCACGTGCCACGGGGCACTCTGGGGATGGCAGGCAGGCGCACGGGAGCGGAGGAGTCCCGCACCCACGGAGCGCGTGTGCGCAGCACAGGATCTGTCTGGACTCGTCTCGAGGCCCCCTCGCCCCCCCCCTGCCGCGACTGTGCCGGCAGAGGCCTGTCAGACCGAGTCACACCTAGGCTCCAAAAGCCCCAAAACGGGGAAAAGGAGAAATAGGTCAGGCCACGCAGACGCCTCGATGCCAGCGGGGACACGCTGCCTCCGGCGCGGGTCCTGCGAGGCGGGTGGGGAGCTTGCCGGGGTGGTCGCCCGGCCCGGGGTGGTCGCCCAAGAGGGCGCGCAGGGCAGCGCCCCCGCGCCCCCTTTGCAGAGTCGAGGTGCAAAGGGCGCGCGTCCACAGCGCACGGCCCCCGACCCACACGCTGTGTCCAGGGGCCCTCCAAGCTCGTCCACGCCCCCCGCTCTGAACTACGGAGAACCTTGAAAGGGAAACTGACAGCCGACAGCAGGGAGCTCGGTCCAGAGAGCTCTGAGAGGGGGAGGAAGGCAGACAGCCCCCCCCCCCCCCCCGCCCCAGCTCAAGCACCGCGGAGTGCAAAGCCGCCCCTTGCCGTCCCTCTGTAACGATCTGGGAAGCAAGGAGGGACCGGGTTGAATCACAGGGACTGAAGGAAAGGTGGGGCGGGGGAAGGACGGAGAGGAGAGACGGGGTGGTAACCGACGGCGGGGGTGAAGGGAAAGGAGACGGGGGTCCCAGTCCAGACAGCCGCCAGACTGGTGGGGGGTGGCGAAGAGAGGAGAGAAGAGAATGGAGAAGGAGGAAGGAAGCCTCCATTTCAGGCAGCTATTAAAAATACCGACAAAAAGCGGCGCGCCCCCCCCCCGCACTCCCAACAGCTCCAGGTACTGCGACGCACGCCCCCCCTCCACGAACCCCGATCCGCGCCGCACGTGCCCTCGCCCGATTCTTCCCCGTACGCACGCGCGCTTGCGCGCAATGCCCCGTCTCCGAGCATCCCCCCCCGTGAGCAACGCGCGCTCCCGCCCCCAACCCGACCCTCGCCCTAACACCATCTCCCCCCGCCCTACATCCAGGGTCCCGCCCCCCCGCGAGATCCCTTTCTCCTTGAGCTCCCCGCTCCCCCCCACGCCGCCGCCGCCGCCCTCTCCATGCCTCGCCTCGCCTCGCCTCGCCGCCCTTTCCCTTCCCCTTCCTTCTCCCTCCGGCCGGTACTCACTGCGGGTTGGAGCTATTCCAATGCACCGCGTGCCGGTTGCCGAGGCTGCCGGCGGGGCCGAGGCAGAGCAGCCCGAGCAGCGGCAGCAGCAGCGGGACAAGTGGAGGCAGCAGGAGCGCGGCCATGCCGCCTGGCCGGAGCGCCACGCCGGGAGCGACCGCGGCGCGCCCGAGCAGCCCGGAGCGGAGAGAGGCGATCCGGAGCGGAGTGAAACAGAAGCCGCCGGAGCCCCCAGCGCCGCCGAGGCCCCTCCCCCTCCTCCGCTCCCCTCCCCGCGCGCCTCCGGCCTGGGGACCGCCCCCTTGCGCGCGCCGCTCGTCGGTCCCGCCCGCGCGCCCGCGATTTCCCACGGGCTCCCCACGCTGCGCCCTAGAAGCCATCCAGCGGGGCGTCCCTGCCGCGCTCTCGAGTCAGCCTGCCCGATGGGGCGGACGCGGGCGAGGGGCGTGGCCCTGTCTGGCCACGACGCCCCGCCCCCTTGCTCGATCCCCTTCTCCTCTTGAGGCGGCGAGGGCCGTCTGGAGATCCCCCCCCCCCCGCGCGCGCACGGACACCTACCCGCGCGTCTCGCTCCTCTCCCCCTGCAAGTCGGATAGAGTAGTTGGCGTTTGTGCCGCCCGATGCAAGAAGGGGATCTGGGGAGATCACTGCAAGGAAGGGCCTCTGGGTGTGAGCAGAGTGCTCTTGGGACTCAGAGCATCCGGACTTCGCCCTGCACAGCGCCCGGTTCTGGAAAAAAAATGATAATGAGGTGAACGGAGAACGCCTCTCAAAGTTGGGCCCAAGCTGCTGTTTACTTCCTTGGAAAAACAGGGGAAGTAAATGAGCGGGGGGGGGGGAGGAGAAGCCCGATTTCTGAGCATGGGCAGAGCATATCTTTGTCCCCGCTGCATGCCAGGGCTTCATCACTGCCCCCTGCCTCAGGGGCTTGGGTGCTGCATATCCAGGACCCCGAGTTTTTCCTTTGGAGCCTCCACTCTCCAGGCGACTGTCCACCCCACCACTCTGTCCAGGGGGCCTCGTGCTTTCGGTGGCCTCCGATTCGCGCTGGAGGAGCTGCCCTTGGGCCTCCATGCGCTTCCATCCTGCTCCCCCCATTGAATCTTTCTGCCAGAGGTTTTCGCCGAAATCAAATGCTCGCCCCTGCCATAATCCCCTTTTACAAACGGGATCTGGGCGTCCTTAGGAGACAGCCGCACAGAGACTTTCGACCATATGCAAATCGGCACACGCAAGGACGTGCTTTGTCTGATTTTGGTTTTGGCTGAGCCCCAGACTCTTCTGGGAGCTAACACCATCCCTGGACCCAAGGCTGCCTGTCAATTCCATGGACTGACAGGGGCAGTTGACAAGTAGGAGAAAAGCAGGGCCTCTGATCATGTGCAGACAGCTTTTCACTCACCACGCTGAGGCACTAACCGCCCCTGCCCCCTCCCCGCTTATGAACAACAGCGAGGCTTAACAGGGCCAGATCTGAAGTCGCTCATGGAGCCGGGTGCTTCTGCGCCCCCGGGGGTGGGGGGGGGGCTTTCCCTTAGCGCCAAAGGAGTCTTGCATCTGGCATGAGAAAGAAAGGCAGGTTACAGGGCAACCGCTTCCAGGCTAGCTCAAGAAGTGCTCCCACCCCAGGCCCAGCAGACTCTGCATTTAAAAAATAATTGCTACCAGGTGGAGAACATCTGGAAGGAGAAACTGGAGGTTGTCTTTCATTTCTCCCCCCTCCATTCCCCCCAAACAGAGCTGGAAACAGAGAGAATGTAGCTGAAAGAAAACTCAGCCCCAGAACCTTTTCCAAAGCCCGGCAAGCTGTGAAGAAAGAAAGAAAAAAGGCAGCGCTGCTGCAGACCTCTGTGGCCACAATATCTGGCCAAGTGTTTCCATTTTTTCATTTCCCCAAGCCCTAACTTTTTTTTTTTTTTTTTTTTTTTGCACAAGCAGCCTGACAATGACTTCTGCAGGACTTAAAAGCTTACATCCTTTTGTGGCACTGGGGCTGATCTCCACAAATGCATTCTTGCATGCTTTTTAATAAGAGTGCCTCTGAGGGTGTGCAGAGTGCCTTCCCCATCCCAAATGGATGGCAACCAGCCTCTCCCATGCGCATCTGTCCCAATTCCCAACAGGTGTGGTTTCTTTGGCACCTCTCCCGTTCGAAAGGGGAAAGGATGACGAGGTGCCCTCTGGGTGGCCCCCTCCCCAACCTCATCTGCAGGGATGAATCCCCTCCCAGAAACCCCCGCGGTGGCTCCCAGGAGGCCTTGCAGGCTGCGGCTCCCTGGAGCCCCACTGTGCCAAGCCAGGAAACTGGGCGTCAGACAGCAGCCTACTCCTCAGGGAGGCGCAGCGGCTGCCCTGCCTGAACTTGCAGGGGTGCAAGCCACGGCGGTTCGGGCACGTCGGGCATGCTGCCCAAGGCCCGGGGCCAAGGCGTGGACAGCCTGCCCAGGGATCTAGCAGGACTGTGCCGTGCTGACAGCGCCCTTCCTTGCCACCAGGAAAGAGCAACCGGGCAGCGGGGCCTGCGTCAAAGACGAGGCCGCTTCTCTTGAATGACAGCTGGAAGCCCTCAGGAGGGGAAGCACAGATGCAGCGACTCGACTCGGGGTGGGGGGGGGGCCCAGCTGGCAAAATAGGGGGTGGGAAGTTTTCTTGCCGCCTGCCTGGTTTTGATGGGGTGGGAGGAACAGTTCACCCCGTTTGGGGTCGTGGTTTGTGGGCTGAACTGAGATTTGGAGATCTAGGTTCTGGTCCCCACTTGCTATGAAGCTCACAGGGTGACGTTGAACCGGTCCCAGCCTAACCTACCTCACAGGGTTGTTGTGAGGATAAAATGGAGAGGAGGAGGACCGTGCGAGCTGCTTCGTGTGAAATGAGGTGGGGTATGTTTGTGTGGAAATTATAATAATAAAGATTAAAACGTTCCCTTTTGGCTAATGCATCTTTAGGAGATGCTGATACAATCAGGCATTGGGTCAGTGGAGTGGCTAGGTAATTTCAGATTCTGGATTTAAAAGTCTTACTCCGCACGCACGCACGCACACGCCAGCTTCCTTTATATGACAACGCACATTCCTTCAAAATGTTGCCAGCCAGTCCCTCCGCTAAGTCCCTGGAGTATCCGCCCTAAAGTCCGGCCTGACAGCACCACTCTCTGTGTTTCGGGTGGCAGGGGGGAAGTCTCACAAGCTATCCTTGCTCTCAGTTTATTTGTAACAGCATCACCCCTGTTCATGATGCTTTAGAGAGTAATGAGGAAACAGCAGGTCCCTGCCCCGAGAAGCATACAATCTGCAGGACCTGCTAATTTGCAGATCTGACTGGTAGGAAGGGTGATTTGGCATGGCTCTTGTTTGCAACAACAAAGTGTTTGCAACAGCGAATCACAACAACAAAGACGCTCCTGGTGGCTTCCGCCCCTCTCTTCATTGCTGAAAGAGAACACCCACTTGGATATTCTCTCTCAAGCTCCAAGTAGAACCAGTCTGGAATTGGGAGCAAGTTTGAGGCCTGCAGCCCATTTCCAGGATCAGAGCTCTTGTAATGGGTTTCTCTGGGCATGTGCAGAGCAGAGCGTCTGCTCCCACCGAGTCATGTGAATCAAGGCTCCATAGGTGCCACCAAATCAACAGGAAAAACATTCTGATCGAGACAAAGTAACATCCACCATTTTTGATCCTGTGCCGTGCAGATGTGCTGGACAACAGCTCCCATCAGCCCCAGCCCTCATGGACACGGCAATTACAGATCTCCCTGCAAAGACTCTCAGGATGCCTGACACATTTATTTTGGCCCAAGTTTTCATGGACACTGGCCGCTTCCCCAGACGCCTCGAATCAGCAGGCCTCTGCCTGAGGTGGCTGTCTCACACCTCCTGCAGCCAGAATGCAAGGAATTCCTTCTTCCGCCAAGAGAAATGTGTTGGGTCTTGAAGACCACAAGACCCTGGGTCATCTTTCCATTCCTGCACCAACTGATAGCATGGTTGTGTTGAAAGACACTGGAACTCTCCGTTCTGGCTGCTGGGGGTGGGGTGGCGCCATGAGGGCAAGAAGGTGGGGCAGACGTCTGCCCCTCCACCCGCCCCCTCCACAGCGGGATGAGCTGCACAGCTCTCCCAGACGCAGCAGGTGGGCTGGCTTGGCACGCTGAAGAAAGTGAAGTATCCCACATTACCGCCTAGAAAGGCTAAGTCCAGGTTGTAAACATTTCATAAGACACAATTGCAAACACCCTCCTTCGGAGCTTCCAGCAGCACTGGGCTGGCCGCAGAAGCAAGGGAAACCGGAAGCCAGAAAAGATGGACACCTGGCCGCACCCGAGACCTCTTCTCATATAAACCTGGTCTCTTCAAAGCCATGGCCGACAGTTCTTGTGTTCGGAGCCAGGCGGTGGCAGGTTCAATTTACCAATACTTAGTGGGCATTTGAGACCGTGTGGTCCAGGGTGCGTTCCAAGCTGCCGCCGGGCACATTTTGTGCAGTCACAAGGAAAACCCTGCCGAATGCTCGGGAACGCGAACGTTCATCCTTTCATTGTTTTCCATCAGAAAATTTCTGGGAGGTTTGACACGTGAGGTCCCTGGTCCCTGATGCATGAGGGATGGGAGACGGTGGAAGGTTCGTGTGTCTGGGAAAGCAGGTCCTGGGTGCCGCCTGCCCCCTTTCCATCAGGGACGGGTTCTAGATCTCTGCCTGCAGCTTCTGTGCCCCATGGCTAGGCTAGCTAGGATGGAGGGACTCCTGGGGGTTCACAAGATCCACTCCCCAGATGCCAGCCACCCCTTCGCCTCCACTGCTCCTCCATGCTCAGTCATTTCAGCCGACGGCCCTGGCACCATGGCACCCTTGTCCTGCGATTGTGACTTTTTGTATCCGGGACTTCCAGGTCTGTGCTCACTCTGCTCCGGTGCCCCATGGCAACTTCCTCATTACCAGTCCAACGCCTTCCTTCTGGGCAACCGGAAGAAGCTCTCGCCTGCTGGTGGTGAGTTAAAGCCTTTGGAATGAGGGAAGGGTGTGGTGGAGGCATGCAAGAGTGAGCTGGTGCCATAAGGGTAGGGCTTTGGGGCAGATGGCCAAGGCCCCACTAGGCAGAATGAGCAAGAGGGGCTTGCCAAGACAACTCCTGTCAGGCACGGCCAACAGGAGAGGAGCTGTAGTTTCAAGAAGGTGCAGGGCGGCATGCT